GAGCCTTCCGCCCCAAGAGGGCGCCAGGAGGCCCAAACAGGCCCCCAAGAGGCCCCAAGGGGCCGCCAAGAATCCCCCGAAGAGGCCCCAGGAGGCTCCCAAGGAGCCCAAACGAGGCCCCTACAGAGGCCCCAACAGCTTCCAAAATGGCCCCGAAGAGGCCTCGAGCCCGCCTCCGAGCTTCCTCGCCGCGAGGGTGCCAACACGGCCCCAGACCGGCCCAGGACGGCCCAAGGCGCGCTCAAGACGGCCCAAGACGATTCCAAGACGGTCCCAGGAGGGTGCGCCCAGGACGGCCCAAGGACGCGCCCGTTCGGGGCCTCAAGACGGGCCAAGATGGCAAGAGAGTCCCAGCTGGCAAAAATCGTTAATTTTCCATTGTTTACTGTTACACCCTTTGCGTTTCCCGCCGTTTCGGCGGTCCGATGCACCAAGAGGCCCCAGAAAGTCCCAGGAGGGTCCGAGGAACCGCCCAGGAAGGCCCCAAGACGGGCCAAGACGGACCCAGCACAACCCAAGGCGCGCTGCGACGGCTCAAGACGGCTCCAAGACAGCCCCAAGAGGGTGCCAACACGGCCCCTGCTGGGCCCAGGACGGCCCAAGGAGGCGCACAGGAGGGGCCCAAGACGACTCCAAGGCGGCCCCCTCACGGTCCCAGACGGCTCCAAGACAGCCCCACGAGGACCCCGATGGGCCCAGGACGGCCTACGGACGGCCCATGAGGGGCCCACAACGAACCAAGACGGCCCCATCACGGCACACGGCGCCCTCAAGACGGGCCTGGACGGCTCCAAGACGGCCCTTTGAGGGAGCCAACGCGGCCCCACACCCTTCGGGCGCACACTTGGGGGGGCTGGGAGCTTGCGACAAGTCTCCCACATTCATTGTCCTGCCCATTCTGTTCGCCTGGAGGCCTCCTCCAACCCTGTGGGCGAACAAGAGGAAACCCAGCGGGCCGCCAACCCTGGGGCCCGTGGGCCCCGCGCCGCTTGGGCAGAAGACGAACGCCGGGTCTGACAGGCCAGCTACCGCCCCCCTTTGCCCGATATGCTGTGCCATTCTGTTCCCCCAGGGGCCTTGGCAAACTCTTCGGGCCAAGCAGACCGGACCCCTGGGACAGCAGCCAATTGATATGACCCTGGGACCTCTCCGCATTCTTCGGACGAGCATCTGGGGGGCCCAGGAGATTCGGACATGTCTTCCCCATTCCTTGCCCTGTCCCGTTCTGTTCGCCCGAAGGCCTCCACAGACCCTCTGGGCGAACAGAATGGGACATGGCGAACAAACCCTCCCGTTGGCGGTGATGCGACTGGATCGCACCATCAAGGCGCGCCCGGAGGTGATGGCCGACCCAACAGCGGTTTCTCTTAAGAGTTCACTGGATTTCAAATTTTCTTGAAGCTCTCTTGGGCCCTCCCTGTAGATCCTTGCGAGCCTCCCCGGCGCTTTCGGTGGCTTTCCCCGTTGGCCTCCCGAGCCCTTCCCCGAGCGCTCCTGAGACGCCTCAGATGGGCTTCGACTTCGACGCACATCCCCGAGAGACTTCGAAACTGTCCTCAATAGAAGGGGGGGGGAACGAGCAGTGCGCTGGGCCAAGCTGCTGCAGCGCTGCAAGAGCTCGGACACGAAGGCGCGGTCTCGCTGCCGCCGCCCGAGCCGCCGCCGTGTTTGTAGATTTTCGGTGCAATCTGCGCCGTTCCTCCGAGAACCATTCCAGAAAGATGTCGTGGACGGAGTCCACGGGTCAGCCCTAGTCAGCTACAGTGCTGGGATCAGCGCATGTGAGAAGGGCGAGCAGTGGCAGCGGGCCCTGGCGCTGCTGAGCGAGATGCGTGAGGTTAAGCTGAAGCCCAACGTCATCTCTTCTATAATGCCGGAACCTCTGCGTGCGAGAAGGTATTGTGCACCAGCCGTCCCGTGTTTGATCCCAGAGGCCCCAGGAGGCCGAAACGCTCTCCTGGGGCAGCTCCGAGAGCCCTGCGGGTCTCGGGCCACGCCCCCTGCACCGCCCAGCGGAGCCCAAAGACGGCCGAAGAGGCGCGCAAGACCGCCCCAACGGGCCAGGAGGCCCCCAAGACGGCCCAAGAGAAGTCCCAAAAGGCTCCCCCAGAGGGCCCAGAGATGCCAAAAGCAACGATTTCGTATGGGAGTTTTCCAGGGGCTCGACATTCTCTCTTTTGGGGGCTTCCGATGCTACATGATGTCCCAAGAGGCCCCCTAATATCGCCCCAAGGCGGTCCAACAGGCCCCCAAGAGGGACCCAAGAGGGCCCATGACGGCCCGAAGAGGGACCCAAGAGGGATCCAAGAGGGCCCCAAGAGGGGGAAATGGAACTAGCATTGCGCGCCCTCCGCCCCAAGACGGCCCCCGAGACCGCCAGCATACCCCCGAGAAGCCCCAGGGGGCCCGCACGAGGCACAGATCAGGCCCAAGAGGGCCCCCAGAGGCCCGAGAGATCCCACGAGCCGCCTCACAGAGGCTTCCGAGGGAAGCTTCCTTGGAGAGCTCTGGAGCTGCGCTGGCCACCCAGGAGAGCCCCGTCGGCGACCCAAGGGGAGACCAGATGTTCGGCCACACGCGCGCCGAGGCCATTGAAACAGTCGTGTGCTGGCCTCGTCTCATGCCTCCCTTCTCCCTCCTCGCTGCACGCTCCTCGCTCCTCGCCGCTCTCTCGTCGCTCCTCGTCTCTCTCTCTCTCTCTCTCTCCTCGCTCCTGGCTCCTCTCGTCGTGCTCCTCGCTCCTCCCACCTCTCTCCTGGCCCATCCCTTCTCCCTCTTGACTACTGGCGTCTGCCTCCCCCCTCCTTCGGCTCACCCGCATTCCTCCTCGCTTTGTTGTTTCTCTCTCTCTCTCTCTCTTTCTCTCTTCTCTCTCTCTCTCTCTCTCTCTCTTTCTCTTTTTTCTCTCTTTTTTTTCTCTCTCTCTCTCTCTCTCTCTCTCGCTCTCCTCGTTTCGACAGTTGCTTCCCTTCTCGCTCCTTGCTCCTGGCTGATCGCTCCTCGTTTCGTCCCCCCTCGACCCTGACTCCTCCCCCTTGCTCCTCGGTCCACTCACGAGTTCGAGGTTGCGTCAGCTAGCAAGGTTACCAAGAAACAGCATTTTGCAGCCTCAAGTAGCAACAGCGAACAGCAGCAATCCGCAGCAAGCAGCGGCAGCACACAGCCAAAGTTCGCAGAAGCAGCAACATGCCGGAGGCAGCAGCAGCTGCAGGCAGCAACAGGAAAAGCGAAGTTCGGATCCAAAGTCATCACGAAAGTCTTTCGCCAACATTGCCTTGGCTCCACGTGCCATCTCGGGCAAATTTCGTGGCCGGCATTCCACGGGTCGGCCTTAGTCAGCTACGGCGCTGGGATCAGCGCGTGCGAGAAGGGCGAGCAGTGGCAGCGGGCTTTGGCGCTGCTGAACGAGATGCGGGAGGCGAAGCTGGAGCCCAACGTCATCCGTACTGCAATACCGGGCTCCGCGCGTGCCAGAACGATACGCTGGGTCCGCGCTTGCTGGGCCCGCGGCGGCGGTGCCTCCGCGGCCCCGCTTGTGGAGCGACGCCGTCCTGGCCCAGGAGAGCCCCGCGGGTCCCCTGAAAGGCCCCCAGGGCCCTCTCGTTCAGCGCAAGAGGCCTCCTGGACGGCCCGCGAAGGCCCCCGCCGGGCTTCACCGGGCTCCCAGGCGGTCTCCGAGAGGGCCGCGAGGACGAGAAACTAGCGCTATTCTTCTATGTGTTGCCGTGCTTCCTCTTCCGATCGCTTCTGCGAACAAGAGACGCCCAGCCCGCCACCACCCAGAAGCCTCCCAGATCGTCTGGAGGGCGCCCAGGGAGCTTCCAAGAGAGCCCCAGAGACCCTGGCTCCGGGGACTCCACAGACGGCCCCAAGGGAGGCCCAACAGGGCCAAGTCTGCAGCGCTCCACCCCCCTTCCCGCCCCTCCCACGGCCAGCGAGCCCCCAAGGACCCCCCCAACAGGCTCCAGGACGGCCTCCGGGATGCTCCCCACAGGCTCCCTCGAAACGGCTCGGACATGCTCCTGAAACTACCTTACAGGCTCCCAGAAGGCCTCCACCATCAGCTCCCTCCAGATGGCTCCGACAGGCTCCTGGCAAGCACCAGAGGAGACCGGGGAAAAAAACAGAATCCCCATCTTGGGACACCTCTTGCGCGATGCGGCCGCGGACGCCCGGGAACGTTGTTTCTGCGACCCCTTCCGCGCCGAGCGTGTCCCAAGAGGTGTGGGGTGTGGTTTTTGCCCGATCATATGGGGCCTTCTCCTCCTCCTCCCCGTCGTCGCTCTCCTCGGTCACAGGCGCTCCTGCTGTTGCTGCTGGTTGCCACTGCCCAGGCACCTGGATCTGCTGGCGCTGATACTGCCAGCGCTGCCCTGCCCTGGACGCAGCCAGTTTATCATCAAGCAAGCAGCGCGCCCTCAGGCAGCGAGGAGCAGCAAGCGCACTCTGACCCCTCGCACTCGTGGACGGTTGTCCACGGGTCAGCTGTAGTCTGCTCCACACTCCTTGTCGTGGCGCGTGCGCGAGGGGGCGGGAAGCTGGCGAGCCGCCCCCGAAGACGCCCGAAGCGCCCCAGCGGCTCCAGAGAGCCACCGGGCGGCCCCAAGACGGCCACTGGCCGCCCCAGAACAGCTCTGAGCCCCCAGACAGCTCTGAGGCCAAAACCGTATGCGGCGTTCCAAACAGGGCCTTGCCTTCGAGATTAGAGAGAGTCGTCATCCCTTCCGCGGCGGAAGGTCGGCGAAAGTAAAACGAGGCCGCCTCCGCCGGCGGAAGCCGGAGGAAGCTCGGCGGAAGGCGGCGGAAGTAAAAAATGCGCCCGCAAGAGATGAAAGCGTTTTTGGGTTCAGGGTTTCCGGAATCCGCCACATGTGTTCCGTCGGATGGTGAAGATTTTCTGAGTTCTCGCCATGTCGGGCCAAGCACGGACCCAGACGGCTGTAGGACCGTCCAGATCGCCCAAGGACGGTCCAGGAGGCCCCGCCAAGTGCCCCAAGACGGCCCCAGAGAGCCGGAAGATTGCCTAAGAGAAGCCCAAGACAGCCTCATAGAGCCCCCGGTGGCCCCAAGATAGCCCCAAAAGGGCCCCAGGAGCCGCCCAATAGGTTCAAAGCGGGCTCCAAGACGGCCAGGGACCGCCAACATCGCCCCAAGACAGCCCGAGAGGCCCACGAGACTGCTCGGGAAATCCCCCAAATGGCCCAAGAAGGCTTCAAGAGCTGCCAAAGAGGGCTCAAAGCGGGCTCCCAAACGGCCCGAACCATTCAACGTAGCTCCCGGACGTCCCAAGACTCCCAACATCAACAACCCCCCCAGATGGCCCCAGGACGTCCCAGGCCCAAGAGCGTTCCAAAATGGCCCCAGAAACGCCCCGGAGGCCACAGAAAGACCCCCAAGAGGCCTCCAAGAGGGTCCAAAGATAGTCCAGACGACGGGCCTCCCGCAGGTCCCAATGGGCCAAGAACCTTCCCAGGGCCACGCCGATGCGCCAGATTCTCCCAAGAGACTCCGACACTTGCCACGGAGCTTTCAGCAGAGCTCCATGAGCCACGGCACCCTTTCGCCGTCTTCGGAACCCCAGAAGCCCCAAAGAAAGCCGCGGATCCCGAACGAAACCCTGGACCACTCCGAGGCGCCCCAGACCCTCCCAAGATACTCCGATAATTCCGACGGAGCTCCCAAGAGAGCCTCCCGCCCTTGTGCCTCCCCGGCAGCCTTCAACAAATCTTCCTAACAAGGCCCAACGAGTCTGCTCTCCCCATTCAGCTCTCTCTTCTCACTCATCCTCCTTCTTCGTCTTCCTCCTCCTCCTCCTCCTCCTCCTCCTCCTCCTCCTCCTCCTCCTCCTCCTGATCCGTTTCCTTGGCTATTCTTCCCCCAAGCTCCAGTTACCCTGGGGTCCCCACACAGCCGATTCGGGGTGACAAAGAGGACATGTAGACACTTCGGAGCCCCTGCAGCAGCACCCGCACCCTTTGCTTCCTCCGAAGGCCTCCAAAAGAATCCGAAGACCGCCCTCGCTCCAAAGCTGCTCTCTTCCTCCTCGGCCTCCTGCTCGCTAGCTCTCATGCGCCTCACTCCCCCCTCCTCCTCCTCCTCCTCCTCCTCCTCCTCCTCCTCCTCCTCCTCCTCCTCCTCCTCCTCCTCCTCCTCCTCCTCCTTTGCCCTCCGCACACCCCAGCACGTCTCGGCCCCACCCCAGCGATTAGGAGTGACAAGGGGGACCTTCTTCTTTCTCATCTACCCTAGATTCCTCGTCTGAGAGCCTGCACCTCCCTCTCTCTGGACTGCTCTCTTCCTCCTGCACCCCCCCATCCCGATTAGGGGTGACAAGGGGGACCTCATATCTTCTCTGCCTCGGCTTCCTCCTCTGAGAGCCTGCTCTCCCCCGTCTCCAGTACCACCCTCCCTCTCCTCCTCTTCCTCCTCCTCCTCCTCCTCCTCCTCCTCCTCCTCCACCTCCTCCTCCTCCTCCTCCTCCCTCCTCCTCCTCCTCCTCCTCCTCCTCCTCCTCCTCCCCTCCTCCTCCTCCTCCCTTTACGATGACTCAATATGAATACTACTATCCCTCTTCCCCTGATGACGGTTTGAAAGTGTCCGACCCCCCCCCCCGCGCATTGGTTTTTTTTATACAGGTTTCCCCGGAGTTGGGTTTTCGCTTGCATTTTTTCCCAAATGCTGCTCTCGCTGAGGCGCCGGCCTCATTTTCGGGCCCCGCTCGTTCCGAATCGTGCTCCCGCTGCAGCGCTGGCCTCATTTCCGTGCTTCCGCTCGTTCCGAATCGTGCTCCCGCTGCAGCGCTGGCCTCATTTCCGCGCTTCCGCTCGTTTTGACTCGTGCTCCCGCTGCAGCGCT